GGATTATCGTTTCCATGCCATAGACCAAGGAAAAAGGTGTTTCTTCAGTAGATGCCCGAGGTGTGGTGCGATAAGCCCATAAAACATGAGGGAGCCTCCTCGCCCACTTGCCTTTTGCTTTCTCCAGTCTTTTCTTCAATCCATCTAAGACGACTTTGTTTGATGCTTCCGCCTGGCCATTTTCTTGGGGGTATGCCGGTGTAGAGTTGTAGAATTCTATCTTGTATTTTCACAAAAGCCTCTAAAAATTTTACCATCGAACTGAGTGGCATGGTCAGATATTAGAGCCTTGGGTATGCCGAACCGAGTGATGATATTCTTCCAGACGAACTTCTTCACATCTTTCTCTTTAATTGATACGAGTGCTCTCTGCTCCACCCACTTTGTGAAGTAGTCTGTTGCTCGCAAGAAAGAATTTTCTGTTGTCGGGCGCCGTTGGAAGTGGTCCTAACTATGTCCAAACCCCACATTGCGAAGGGCCATGGGCTAGTTAACGGTAGAAGCTCTCTGGCTGGTTGATGTATTTGGTGTGTAAACTTCTGACATTTCTCGACTTCTGACATAACTTCTCAGAATCCGCTAGCATGTAAGGCCACCAAATCCCTCGAATTGCTCTGTAAGCCAATGATCTTCCCCCTTGGTGGCTTCCGCATATGCCTTCGTGTATCTCGAACAAGAATGTCTCGACCTTGCTGGGATGGATGCATTTTAAGTAAGGTCCTGTGAAGGATTTTTTTGTACAAGGCCATTGATGGGGAGACCAAAATCGCTACGACTTTGCTCTACATTTTTGTTGGCCTTTCTTTCTTTATTCGGGTAAGACGCGTCTTTCAAGAACACTATAATTGGATCCATCCATGAAGGGCCTAATGCGTAGCATGATTGGGATTATTTTTCCTCCCAGCCAAGCTAAGAACGCCCCACTCTGCCGAGCTAAAAAGTTGTTCGGTTTCATAGCTCGTTCGGCCCAACAAGCCTTGTTAGTTGCTCAACATGTCTTCAAAAAATTTGAACAACCCCGCCTTTTTGCTTTCAACATTTATGTCCTTTGAGTTCGCAATCGTGTGGCGAGTAGTTCTTTCTGTGTCTCGCCAAGCAGACTTAACTCGGTTAACACTAACCCTGCCAACCTTCTTTGGCCGAGATAATCATCTCGGTCTAAGCATTCAAAAATATGTCGATCAAACCTGCCAGCTTGCTTTGGCCGAGGTACGCATCTTGGTTGAAGAATCCAAAAAACTTTGTTGGTCAAACCTGCCAAGCTTCTTGAGTCGTGATCCTTATCTCGGCTGAAGAATCCAAAAAAACTTTGTTGGTCAAACCTGCCAACCTATTTTGGTCGAGGTAACTGTCATCCCAAAGAGTGCAAAAGTTTTTGTTGGTCATACCTGCAACTTCCTGCAGCTTAGATCCTTATCTCGGCTTAGGAGAGCTAAATGTTGGTTATTCCTGCCAACCTTCTTCAGCCTAGATCATTATGTCGGCTGAAGAGAGCTAAGTGTTGGTCATACATGCCAACGTCCTGCAGCCTAGATCATTATCTCGGCTTAGGAATGAAAAAAGTGTTGGTCAAACTTGCCAACGTCCTGCAGCCAGATCCTTATCTCGGCTTAGGAAATGAAAAAGTGTTGGTCAAACCTGCCAACGTCCTGCAGCCTAGATCCTTATCTCGGCTTAGAAATGAAAAAAGTGTTGGTCAAACCTGCCAACGTCCTGCAGCCTAGATCCTTATCTCGCTTAGGAGAGAGCTCAATGTTGATTGTTCCTGCCAACTTTCTTCAGCGCGGATCTTTATCTCGACTGAAAAAGAGCTAAATGCTGCAATCTTGCCAAAGCTTCTTGATTGCCCCCAGTCGGCAAGACCTATTTTAGAAAGAGTTGTCAACCTGCAACCCACTTTGCCCCCAGTTGGGCAAAGACTTTTGCGACGGTCAGTCCTACTTGTCAACCGTGTTAACTCTTTTTGTCTGGTATCATTGTTGGCGCCGGACTCTGCCTTGATGCGCGCCCCATCTTCCTCCACCCGGATGTGTTGGTGCACTCTCTCCATTAGGGCTTCCATAGTAAGGGCAGCGTCATTGGCATTGAATCCCTCACTTATTGCCAGCCGACAAACCTCGTTTGTACTGTGCGATAGCTAGGTTTGTAGGGCAATCTCTAATTTGATTAAAAGTCTCCGATACCAGTTTATTGTAAGATCTCAATGTTTCTTTGTCGCCCATGTCTATGGAGAGAAGCTGGTCAATCTCCACTGGTGTCTTGGTGTTCGTTCTGAATCTGGTCAACAAATGCCTCCGCTAGTTCGCCCAAGAAGCTATGCTCCTTCTGGCAACCTTTCAAACCACGTTAAACCCAGGTCACAAGGCTGGAAGGAAACAGGATATACATTAGAAGCCTCGTTTCGCCGATACATGGCCATAACCTGGTAAAAGTGGCTCAAGTGTATGTAGGGGTCCGACTTCCCCTCATAAGTAGTGAATTTGGGTTGGTGGAAGCCTGAGGGTAATGGTGCGTTCTGTATTGTTGGAATGAACGGTGAGCTCTGCAACCTTGCTAACGCTTTTTCTGCTGGTTCATAGGCAAGGCGTGGCTCTGGAATTCCAACCTCGACACTCCAGGTGTTCTAGGAGCCAATCGTTGTAGTGCGAGACTCTGCGGGGGTCGCGAGCCTGAGTGTGCCTTCTCTCCTTCGAGCCTTTTCAGTCTCTCTTCTCTCAGGCCTGGAGTAGCGTGTCCTGGAAGTCTTTTGACTGTGTATCGCCTGACCTAAAGGCCTTTAACTTTTAGCTTGTTGATGGTGTGACTTGTCTGTCACGATCTTCTGAGTGGCAAGAGTGTGTGTTGCCTTTGCGCCCCTCTTTTGCTACCATCCCTTTGCCTTTTATCTGGCTCTTCATAGACTCTATGTCAACCGCATTCTTCTTATTATTTTGTCATGCTCCCTTACGCGATCTTCGAGAACTTGAGGATCCATTCTTCCGTCTCTATCTATCAGGGCTTCTTGAGAGCGTGGTGGACTTGAGCCCCATCTTCTCTCGCTCTCTCCCGCGGATTCCTTCGCTGGAGATCCAATTTTGCCAATGGGTGGGATAGAAGGTAAACCTTCACATCTCCTACCCCTTCCGGTGTTTGCCCTCAATAGCAGATTGCGGCAAGTCTTCATGGTGCGCCATTGCTTTCACTAGAGAGGAAAACTTGATCAAGAAGTTTTGCTCTTTGTGAAATTCCACACAGACGGCGCCAATTGTACGAGCAAGAAATATATTCTCGTATAATCCTGTGATCAGTCTGCGCTCCTCCAAACGTCGTCGCTTTAACTCCCTGAAACACAAACGTGAGCTAGTCGGTGGGTGTGCTTCCGATATCTAAGTCAGCAAAATAGACAAATGAACAAAAACTCTGTGTAATTCAAGAATCAAAGTTTGGTTACTCTCATAGGTGATGTTATGAGCTTTTAATAGGTTTTGCGTGGCACAATCCTAGTAGGACTCTTATTCTCCATGCAGAGTCCTCACTAGGAATCACACTCCTGAAAGATAATGCTTATCCTTCAACACCCCCTCACTGTTAAACCAAGTGAGATGGTTTTACCTCGGTAGTATGACAAAACGACCGGGCTAACAATACTTCTTTGTCATACTTCAAACCAGCACTTCACATGCAACTCATAGCTCGGCCTTTGTTTCACCAATATAGCGATCCCGGTTTTCCTCTCATGTTTACTGTATTCTGGACTTCGTTCTGTTGATAGTTGTTGTTGTCTGTATTTCATTTCGTCCTTTAACTCTTTGTATTCGAGTTCAGAATTGGTCTTGGGTCACTAGAAGTCGGCCTCCCCACAATTAGAAGTGAAAATTTTGATCCAGACTTAAATGGAGAAGCCATAGCATTGGAGCTTGACCTTGCAGAAGAAAGAAGAGAAAGAGCACTAGTTCACATTGCCTCATACCAGCAGGAGTTATCCAGAAAATATAACATGACAGTACATCCAAGGCAATTCAAGATTGGAGACTGGGTGTTGCGCAAAGTAATGGGAAACACCCTGATACCCAGAGATGGCAAGCTAAGGCCCAATTGGGAAGGACCTTACAAAGTGGTTGGATTAGCAGGAAAAGGGGCATACCACTTGGAAGATGAAGACAGCAAAGTCATTCCCAGGCCATGGAACACTGTCAATCTCAAACTATTTTATTTTTAGCTTTTCTTTAAACTTACTTGTAGTTTTTATTTTTTCAATAAAATACGTAGTTTCTTTTTCAGCATAAATTGTTTTCCTCTGTAAAAATAGTTTTAGGGAACTAGGGGCAATGAAATCAGAGTTGGCCGGAATAACCAACTTTGAGCTCTCTTCAGCTAGGATTAGGATCTGGGCTGAAGAGGTTGGTTGGAAAAACCAACACTTCTCCTAAGCCAAGATAAGGATCGAGGCTGCAGGACGTTTGGCAGGAATAACCAAACACTATGCTCTAG